AAGCTCTGTGAGGCCAGGGATACCTTCTCTTGTGTTTATCTACTGAACACTTTACATACAAGAGAGAAAAGCTGCCACATTCTAAAAAACTGTCCCAGGGTGGTTTCCAGGGCAATTATGTGCCCAGATTGAAATACAACGTCCCCTTGCAACTTGTAGTTTACTTGCATAGCTGTAGCTTATATGATATGGGCAGAACAAATCACCAAAAGAGCCTATTTCCCCTGGAAAAAAATAAACACTAGAATTGCAGTCTAAAGCCAGCCTGAGCAGGAAAATCCTCAAGACTCCATCTCTAACATAACCAGCAAAAAACAGGGATTGAGGTGTGAGCTCAACTGGTAGACTGCAAGCCATGCAAGTTTGAGGCCCTGAATTCAAGCCCCCTTCTCTTTCCTAATTTCCTGCCTAAATAAATCCTGGGGATGCAAGATTTTAAGCAGGAACACGTTGACAAGGATGCCCCTGAATGCAATCCAAGGACCTCTTCCTAATGTGGTTAGAACAGAGCAGCTATTACCTGCCCTGTTCACCGATACCTGATGATTTTCTGTGTCATGAGAAAAAAACCTATCTATCTGCACCAAAGCAGGGGCTTTCTGTGGCAGCTCAATTTAGCATCCTTGGAATGCAGTACTGATGGTGGCAAAATTAGAACCACATGCAGCACTGAGCCTGTGTCTGAGAATATAAAAGGATCTAGAATAGTGAGGGAAGGGGAGGCAGGGAGGATCTAGAATAACACAGGAGATTGAAGGTCAGATCCAGAAAATACAGGCATACATGAATGAGAAGGAAGATATGCAAGCTGCTTATACAGAGAATGACAAAATGAACAGGTACACCCATGATCTACTTTTGCCATACACCCCTAAATAAAACTGGTGTTTCATCTCCAGGCTTCAATACTAAACTCTCCTTCTTCTGGCAACTTCTTCTGAAGCAGAACACTTTCAATCATATCAGTAGCACATCCTAATTAGACAGCTAAGAAACCTTGTAGGGTCTCAACGCCATAAATTATCCTAACAGGACTACTATGAAAAATAAATAAACCTTACCATTCTTTCCATACCATGTTTTAATGACTCCATTTTTACATTTATCAGATGCAATAATCAGCTGTCATTTCTACAAGATTAAAAAACTGACGTACTTAATTTGCCTTTACTGTTTTCTGACTATAACACACACACACACACACACACACACACACACACACGCACGCACGCACACACACACACCATCAACTTACAGATGACAATCTTCTGTTTGAACTGGATTTCTGCATTGCCTAAGCTCATGCATAACTGAACCATCACACACAAATGCACCCCTCTGAAAAAGCTGCATGACTTACAGCCAAACAACACCTTTGACAGAAAATTGTTTGCACTTTCCTGTTTCACGTAGGCACATGAAAAATCGACAGAAGGGCTGGGAAGGTGGCTCAGTGGTAGAGCGCTTGCCTTGCATGCCTGAGGCCCTGGGTTCGATTCCTCAGCACCACATAAGCAAAAAGAAAAAAGCCAGAAGTGGCGCTGTGGCTCAAGTGGTGGAGCACTAGCCTTGAACTGAAGAGCTGAGGGACAGCGCCCAGGCCCAGAGTGCAGGCCCCATGACCAGACCCCCCCCAAAAAAAAAAAAAATCGACAGAACTGCTATATTGAATTGGGGTTATTGATTTTTCTTCACATTTTGCTTATATTTCCTAATTGAAAAAAAAAAGGAAAAACATACGTTAAAAGGTTTTATAAGCAAAGTATCAGAAATCTGTCTAGTAGATACAGAGTAGAAACTCAGGACCAAAGATTTATCTTCCAAAAAAAAAAAAAAACAGCAAATGAAATAATTCCAAGCAAAGCATGGTAGCTCAACTATGTAATCCCAACACTAAAAAAGCTAAGCACGAGAGGATTTTGAGTTTGAGCTACAGTGAAACCATTTCAAAGAAAGAGAGAAAAGGCAAAAGCAAAGCCAAAGGGAGAAGGAAAGAAAGAAGGAAATCACTGGACCACAGAAGAACCAATGCTCAGCATTTTAGAAGATCATCTTACAGACTGTCAGCAATAGAACCAAAGCAAACACCTCATGTGGCTGCCCTCTCTAAGATCTACTCTCTTAGCAAATTCTATATTATTATCTATCATCACCTTAGAACATGAGATCCCCACAACTTATTCAACCTGCTTAAGAAAAACTGTATACTGACTCTTAGACCAAAATCACCTTATTTGCCCCATCCTCCAGGCCCGGTTATCACCAGTCTACTCTGTTTGTATATGTTTGACTTGTTTAAATTCCACATATAAGTGATACCACAGAGGTGACTTTCTATACCTTGCTGATTTCATTGAACATGTCATACCCAGGTTCATTTATGCTGCTATAAACAACAAGACTTCCATTTTTTTAACATCCATGTATCCACTGACACAGGTTGCTTCCACGTCCTGGCTATCATGAATGATGCTACAAGGAACGAAAGTGAACTGTCTCTCTGAACACATACAGCTTCTCCTTTGGATATATTACCCACAAGTGGGATGCTGGGTTCACAAGTAAGACTGTCCATTCCTTCTAATTTGACTTTAATTTGACAAAATCTATGCTAGAATTTCTTGGAGCTAGCAGGAAACAGGAAGGTTTTGAAGCTGTTTTTCTTTTAGAGCTGTCCCCTTGTTGTCATATTTATTGTGTCTACAACCTGGTAAGCTGACCTCATATAAGAGAGGGTTGAACACCTGCTCGGCATGGACACACACTGGTAAAGAATGGGAGAACAAGAAGTGGCATATGCGTAACATGGGTGATACTGTCTGTAATTGTTGTTTGTTCGCTTGCTTATTTATCTCAGTACTGGGGCTTGAACTCAGGGTTGGATTCCTGAGCTCTTACTTCTTGAGCTACGCCTCTACTTCTGACTTTTTGCTGGTTCACTGAAGAGTCTCACAGACTTTCCTGCCCAGGCTGACTTGAAACAGAGATCGTCAGATCTCAGCCTCCTGAGTAGTCAGGATTACTGGTATGAGCCACTGGTGCCTGGCTTTGACTATAATTCTTAACTTTATAATATCACCCTCATATTTCTCTTGGTTACCATTGAAAGTATAAATAACAGAAGATGATTCTGAGTAGTAGCCATAAAAGAAAACTTAACATTTTTTAACCACCAAAGAAAAACCAAGCTAAAGCTAGGTATAACACCTAACAACTGGTATCTTAGCAGCACAGTGATAAAATGCTTTATGACATTTTTACTTATTACAATAATTGTACATAATAGTAAGTCAGAAAACTAACATAATAAGGTAATTAAGAGGGAGACTTACTTTCCCCACCACACCCTTGCTAAAACACACAGCTTGTAGAATTACTTATTCCTCAGGTATCACCTCACATTCTTACTCCTTTGGGAAACTCAACATTCCATGTACCTAACAAAAGTTCTGCACAACTGACAACCCAAGAGCCCAGTGCTTTTCACCCCAATTTGCAGTAGAAATTATCCCTAGTCAATTTCTTTTTTGTAGTAGCATATCTACAGCTGTGTTTCTAAATCACTGATTCATTTTAGTTACACTTCCCCTACCTTTTAATTATGCTACCTTGTAAAAGTTAAAGTGTCAGTGATCTACAACTGAAGTCTAAACACTTTTACCATGCTTCTTTATATTCAGCTTAGATCTTCAAGGAAGTTAACTCATAAACTTCACTAGACAAAAACATTTCTTGTAATAAAAAGTAATGTTCCCCTGAAATAATGGGGAGAACCCGGACTCTGACCAAAAACAGAGAAAGTAAGAATTAACTCAGTTCCCCCAAGACCCTCTGGTACCATAGGAACTTCAAATTAACTATATATTTTCAAAATTCCAATCATTATCAAATTTTTTTGGGGGGTCCAGTCGTGGGGCATGAACTCTGGGCCTGGGCACTGTCCCTCAGCTCTTCAGCTCAAGGCTAGTGCTCTACCACTTGAGCCACAGCGCCACTTCCGGCTTTTTTCTTATGTGGTGCTGAGGAATCAAACCCAGGGCCTCGAGCATGCAAGGCAAGTGCTCTACCACTGAGCCACCTTCCCAGCCTATTTATCAATGTTTAATCAAAATAAAAATTGCTGTACATGAGAAAATTAAATTCCATTGCTCAAATCATGCACTCACCTTTCATTACATTTGTTAGAAGTATTAAACTGAAATAAGAAACACTAGGACTGACTGATTGTATTATATATAAAATAGGATGTTTCTCAAATGTTCCTGAGCTAAACAGAGAATGAAGTAAATCTAGGTATGAAAAGGTATCTGGGGGGAGAGAAGGGGAGTTAGTTGGGGAGGTTAGGGAAGGGATGGTAGGTAAAAAACAAAGGAGGGGGTAACAATGCTCGATAGGAAATGTACTCATTACCTTAGTCATGTAACTGTAACCCCTCTGTATAGTATCTGTACAATAAACTATACATTAAAAAAAGAAACTCTATCTTGAATAATTTTAATGAGAAACAGAAATTTACTCCTAAGGATGTTTTGGTTTTTTGGTTTTTCTTTTTTTGCCAGTCCTTGTGCTTGAACTCTGGGCCTGGGCACTGTCCTTGAGCTTCTTTTGCTTAAAGCTAGCACTCTACCACTTGAGCCACAGCACCACCTCTGACTTTTTCTGTTTATGCGGTACTGAGGAATTAAACCCAGGGTTTCATGCATGCTAGGCAAGCAATCTACCACTAAGCCACCTTCCCAGCCCAAATTAAGGATGTTAAAAAAAAAAAAAAGCCATGTGCTCCTAGTTACTGAGATCTTAGGATCTAGGTTCAAAGCCAGCCTGGGCAGGAAAGTCCGTGAGACCCTTTTCTCCAATTAACCACCAGAAAACTAGAAGTAGTGCTATGGCTCAAGTGTCAGAGTGATAGCCTTGAGCTGAAGAGCTGAGTGACGGCACCCAGGACCAGAGTTCAAGCCCCACTGACCCACAAAAAAAAAAAAAAGATTTCCAGCTTGGCCATGGCGGCTAATACTACCACCAACCATTTACAGCTGCTGCTGCCACTAGAACTCATGAACAAATGCACAGGATCAAGAATTCACATCGTAGCCGGGCGCTGGTGGCTCACGCCTGTAATCCTAGCTACTCAGGAGGCTGAGATCTGAGGATCGCGGTTCAAAGCCAGCCCGGGCAGGAGAGACCGTGAGACTCCTATCTCCAATAAACCACCAGAAAACCGGAAGTGGCGCTGTAGCTCAAGTGGTAGAGCGCTCGCCTTGAGCTGAAGAGCTGAAGGACAGCGCCCAGGCCCAGAGTTCAAGCCCCACGGCCGACCAAAAAAAAAAAAAAAAAGAATTCACATCGTGATGAAGAGTGACAAAGAGCTGGGAAGGTGGCTCAATGGTAGAGCGCTTGCCTTGCATGCATGAGGCCCTGGGTTCAATTCCTCAGCACCACATAAACAAAAAGAAAAAAGCCAGAAGTGGCTCTGTGGCTCAAGTGGTAGAGCCCTAGCCTTGAGCTGAAAAGCTGAGGGACAGCGCCCAAGCCCAGATTTCAGGCCCCACGACCGGACCCAAAAAAAAAAAAAGAAGAAGAATGACAAGGAAATTATTGGCACACCTCTAGGATGCGATGATGTTGTCAATATGGTGCTGGAAGATGTCATGGACTTTGAAATCATACCAGAAAGAAGACAAATTAATAAATTGGATCAGATATTGCTAAATGAAAATAATATATCCATGCTGGTTCCTAAGAGGAGAAAGCCTTAACGTATGAATGGATTTCCTTAGCTTACCTAGATTCTGTTTTGTCTATAATGGCAAGCAAATGGAATTTTTTTAATCTTTTAATTATACTTGCAAATGCTGTTTTCCATTGAAGGGAAATGGTGTAACTATATCATATGCAATTTTTCTAAGTTAATCTCATGAGTACCTTGGTAAAAGAAGAATTTGCTTTTTTGAAGACTACAAAATAAAGATGTTTTTCATTAAGGAAAGAAAAAAAGTGTTAGAATGATAGTTATTTTGTTACATAAACTTACTTTGTTGTTGTTGGTGGTGGTGGTGGTGGTCATGGGGCCTGAACTTGGCCTGGGTGCTGTCCCTCATCTCTCCAGCTCAAGGCTAGTACTCTACCACTTGAGCCAGAGCACCACTTCTGGCTTTTTCTGCTTATGTGGTGCTGAGGAATCGAACCAGGCCCTCATGCACGCAAGGCAAGCACTCTACCACTGAGCCACCTTCCCAGCCTAAACTTACTTTTATAAACAATAAAAGCCTCCCCCCAAACTACCCCTCCAAGAAAAAGAATAAGCACCTTCTCATTCATATTCCTTTCTGTTTCAAAAGTTCCTGTGACCAGACATCAGTGACTCATACCTGTAATCCTAGCTACTCAGAAGGCTGAGATCTGAGAACTGCAGTTCAAAGCCAGCCCAGGCAGAAAAGTCCCTTGAGACTCATCTCCAATTAAGCACCAGAAAACAGGAAGTGGAGATGTGGTGCAAAGTAGTATAGCACTAGCCTTGAGCAAAAGAGCTCAGAAACAGCGCCCAGGCCCAGAGTTCAAGCCCCAAAACTGACAAAATAAAATAATTAAAAATATCATGTTCCTGCAAACACAGTTTCCCCATAATACAGGAGAAAGATCTAACTAAAAGCTACAACGTAGTAGAGCTGTAGCTCAATGTAGAAGGGTGCTAGCTTTGAGAAAAAGGACTTGGGGACAACGCCCAGGCCCTGAGTTCAAGCCCCATGACCAACAAAAACAAAAAACAAAAGCTACAGCATTAATATTTACTTGTTTCTAGCATTTAACATTTTCTTGTTTTTTGGTTTTTGGGTTTTTTTTGGTCAGTTGTTGGGCCTTACCTCTGGGCCTGGGCACTGTCCCTCAGCTCTCCAGCCCAACATTTTCTTCTTAAAGACTCATTAAGATGCAAAATGAAAAGTTGTGGTTCTGGTTCTTGTGAAACCACTAATTTTAACTGATAATAGTATCACTGGTTATAGTTCAGAATTTTATGACAATAAAGGCAATATGATTTAGTTAGCTATCCTATAGCCCCTAAAGGTTAAGACCAGGGATTGTTTTTTGGTCTTATATACCATATTATGTCTCCTTTAAAGAAAATTCACATTCATTTGACCTGCCTTTTCCCATTTCAGACAAGTGAGTCACTCATGAATGCGGTTGAACTGGCTGCACGTATGTTAGATGCTTGAGTATTTTGTTCAAACAAGTATGGATTTATGATGACTATTAATTTATCATGCTACTAATAGCATAACAGGCTAAACAAGATCTTATGCAGAATATTCAAGACTTAAGTGTAGAGTACTTGCCTAGGTCTTGAGTTTGAGCCTCAGTACCAATAAAACAGAAGAAAAAGAAAGGAGGAGAAGGTGAAAGAAGAGGAGGAAAAAGAAGAGGCAAAGACAAGAAAAGAAAATCGTCATGTGCCTATACCTGTACCTGTCCTTGTTTTAAGAATGATAATGACCCTGTGAAGGTTAAAATGCATTTGTGACTTTAACTAAGTATCACTATCCCACAATACTGTGAAATTTGTGAAATTTATGTAATAATGTAATCTCAATTAAAAAAAATTTTTAAAGAAGAATGCATCTTGGGCTGTGAATGTGGTTTAGCAGTAGAGTGCTGGCCTTGAGCAAAAGAGGCTCAGGGACAGTGGACAGGTCCTGACTTCAAGCCCCAGGACTGGTTAAAAAAAGGTGGGGGCAGGAAGGGGAGTGCTGGGAAGGTGGCTCAGTGGTAGAGCGCTTGCCTTGCATGCATGAGGCCCTGGGTTCGATTCCTCAGCACCATATAAGAAGGAAAAAAAGGCGGAAGTGGCACTTTGGCTCAAGTGGTAGAGTGCTAGCCTTGAGCTGAAGAGCTGAGGGCACCCAGGCCCAGAGTTCAGGCCCACGACTGGACCAAAAAAAAAAAAAATCTCAGGAAACTAGGTTTTTTTCTTTGTTCTTTATTGCTGTTTTTGTTTTCATCTTCTTTCCTTTTTGTCCTGTTTGTTGATCTGTCTTTGGGAGAGTAAGGGGGGCACAGAAATGGAAGGACAAAGGGTGAACAAATGCAGCAGTGGTACCCACTAGACACTATGTTGAAAATGAACTATACAATTAGTAGATGGGAACCAGAGAGGGAAAAAATGCATTTCAGGCTGGAGACATGGCTCAAGGAGTAGAGCACCCCCTGGTTGATAGAGGCCCTGACTTCAAGCTCCAGTACTAGCAAAAAGAAAGAAAAGAATGAATCTCAATTTTCAAACTACGACAGGAATTCATGTACACTGGTGAAACATTTTTGGAAGTCATTCAGGTAGAATACAAAAATTCTAGGTCTAGCAATTCAGTTTTAGGAAATAACAGCAATGCACATACAAAGATATGTATGAAAATGTGTTCCCACTAAGCCCATATTTAGAATAACTGAAGGAGAGAAGAGAAAGAGGGAATAAAAAGCTGAGGGAAGAAATATATAGAAAGTCTAGCTTTATTTGGGTTAAATCAAATCATAAATATTAGACAAACTGAAAAACAAATGCTGATCAGACAATGGCTCAAAGACATTTCCCATCTGCCATTTAGGACAAGCTATGCTTCAGAACACGCTGATGATGCACTTGGTAACTGCTCCTGCCACACTTAATTTTCCAGTGCTTCTCTTTTAGTCCTCTTCCACTTAATTTCTTTTCTTATCTCATACTAAAGAGTCAGGCCTAAGACACATTCTTAGAATCAATTATACTTAGGGACAAATTCTCCCATGCCAAGTAGGCTGGGAATTCAGGCTATGCAAGTTAGAGGAAACAAGTCATAGTTTGCAAGAAGCTTACAGAGAAGTTTGGGGAAAAGGTACACTTGCCAGAAAAGTACAGTACAGTAATTTGACAGTCAGATAGAAAGAGAGACAGACAGACAGATAGACAGACAGACAGACAGACATATATCTGAAATCTTTGGTTCACTGTTGTCCTTTGCATTTTACCACCAAAGCCTAAGTCAGTGCTTGGATTATTTAGTAAAAGGAATAGGTAAATTAATGAACGAAGTTTGAACACAGTCATTATCTATTATAACTTCTATGACAAAATAGCCTCTCCTTTTCTCATTACTACAGACACATATATAAATAAGCCATACTACTTTCACCATGTCCTAATTTGTCTTTAACTCCTGTCCCATTTTCATATTTCAACCTTTAGTAATATATAGGCACTTTACATATGAAGTGTCTCCCCAAATGGCTCATTGTTTTAAGTTCAATCCCCAACTAAGAGGTGACTAGCGTTTGAGGGGATTAACTTTGTTGGTGGATTAATGGATGTATGAGCTCACAGCTGGTGGGCTATTAGGAGGGGAGGCTCAGGTGGAAGAAATATGTCACTGGAGTGGCACTGTGGCTCTAAGTGGTAGAGTGCTAGCCTTGAGCAAAAAAGCTAAGAGACAGATGCCTACGCTCTGAGTTCAAGCCCCATGACCAACAAAAAATAAATATAAGCCAGGAGCCGGTCGCTAATGCCTGTGATCCTAGCTACTCAGGAGGCTAAGATCTGAGGATTCAGTTCAAAGCCAGCCCAGGCAGGAAAGTCTGTGAGACTCTTATCTGCAATTAAACCAGAAGTGATGCTGTGGCACAAGTGGTAGAGCGCTAGCCTTAAGCTGAAGAGCTGAGGGACAGCACCCAGGCCCAGAATTCAGGCCCCACGACTGACAATTAATTAATTTGTTAATTAATTAATTAATCGATAAGATTTCTTAAGCCGGACATTAGTGTCTCACACCTGTAATCCTAGCTACTCAGGAGGCTGAGATCTAAGGATCATAGATCAAAGATGGCCCAGCAGAAAAGTCACTGTGAGGTTCTTATCGCCAATTAACCACTCAAAAACCAGAAGTGGAGCTGTAGCTCACAGTCTTAGACCGCTAGCCTTGAGCAAAATTGCTCAAGGACAGTGCCTAGGGTCTGAGTTAAAGCCCCAAAACCAACAACAACAAAAAAAAAGTATGTCACTGACTTCTTTCATTGTTTCTTTTTCTTTTTTTTGTTGGTTGTGGGGCTTGAACTCTGGGCCTGGGCGCTGTCCTTCAGCTCTTCAGCTCAAGGCTAGCACTCTACCACTTGAGCCACAGCGCCACTTCCAGCTTTTTCTGCTTATGTGGTGCTGAGGAATTGAACTCAGGGCCTCATGCATGCAAGGCAAGCACTCTACCACTGAGCCACCTTTCCAGCTCCACCCCACTCCTTCTCTCTCTGAGTCTCTCCCTCTATCTCCTTCCCTGCCCGCTTCTTGGCTTTTCCCTCACCCAGAAGTGAGCTGCTTTGGTAATAGCTCCTTCCCAGTATTCTGGATTGCCACAGCTCCATAACACTGACACCAAGGGCCCCAACATGGACTGAATCTCTGAAACCATGAGTTGATAAGCTTTTCCTTCCTTGTTTTTCTCAGAATATCGCCACAGCCATCCGAAATTGGGAGTCACACTCTTCTAATTTAAAAAAAAAAATTCTCTACCTTTTTTTTGCCGTTGGTTTGTTCCATTTGTGCAGTGCTGGTGATGGGATCTAGGGTCGCAAGAGATGCTCGGCAAATGTTTTACTACTGAGCTACACCTCCAGCCCCCACCACACTGAACTAAACAGCAAGCAGCTCCCTCAACCACAGCCCCAGGATTCTACCCCAGTTAACCCCCACTACTGTAGGAGTCTTGTGTCTGACATACATTGGGTCTGACCAAGAATTAAA